GTCAGAGCATTCATAATATATGCAACATATCTTATATTCTTCTATTGATTTATTGTTCCTAATCTCTGGAATAGTACTTATCACCCAGGGGGGTACTCAGGCAGTAATTGTTGAGTGACTATATGAATAAGAGCAAGAAAAAAAAAGGCAGTAAATACTTGATTTATGAATTAATATTTTCCTCAACCTAGTGCTCCAATGTTATTTAAAGTACACTCATGTCTATAACACATCTTGTAGTTTCTGGCCTCTGTGCTCTGCTCCTATCATTATTTACACCTTCCCTCACTTTCCCTTCAACCCTGGGTACTTATCAAGCACCAAATCCTACTCATTATTGTCAGAGTTCTACCTTTTCTTTGAAAACTTTACTGTCCATGCCCACTGTCTTTCTTTTTGAACTGGTGGGGTCCTTTGCACTCTGTCATCGTGCCTTCCTCATCTGATTCATTATCTATCTGTGTGTCTTAACTACCCAACCTTAGGCTCTACAAGTGGAGGGTATATATATGTATTTCTATTTTTTTACTTTACATTTTCATATACATTTAAATTGGAATTAACTTTAACATTTTATCTATAATAAAACCTTTATTATTAACAATTTTGATTCTAAAAGGGTGGAAAGATGAAAATAAAAATTACTCCCAAATTCTATTTTAAAGAGGTATTAACCACTGTCAACATTTCGACCCAACACTCCAACACACACACACACACACACACACACACACACACAACATTCTTATAAAAAAAGATGATCATACTATACACGTTATGTAGAAACCTGAATTTTAAAAAACATCTTAAGATTGTATCAAGGTTTATTTTCTAGTCAATATATATAAGTCTTCACTGACACTTTTAAATCCTGCAGTTGTATTTAACCAATCCCTTAATGGCTGATTTTGAAATGGTTTGCAATTTCTCACTATTGTACACTTTTGGGATAAGTAGGGAGAGAGATTCGAAAAGAGGGTAGATTTGCAATCATCATGGTGGAGTGCTAGAACATGAGTTGACTAGAGAAATGCTTTGTACATTTTTAAAAATAGTCTTAAAAAGTTTGATAAGCTTTATATGCTTTTGCACTTTTAAAAGTTGACATGTATGATTTTTATTAAATTTAAATATGTTTATGTCCATAACTTCTGGCAAATTGTAAATAAGTACAATTGAACTAAAATTGAACTGTGACATTACTTTTTAAAATGTATCTGATGGAATAAAAATATAGTAATTTGATATCTACTTTAATCTATTTTTGGAAATCACAAACTAGCTCATCTTTAATAATCTGAGATGCTATCTAGACCCTTTTTCTTCTTGAATTACTAATTCCATTCTGCTTTCCTTACAGAGTTGTGCTAATGCAATATAGTTTTACACTTGAAATAAAAATTTACATTGCAATAAAATTTGTATACATAAATTTAAACATTTAAAATTTCCTGGGACCATAAGGAAACTTAAAAATATATGTTACACATTTTTAAAGGTGATTTTTTAAAATGTAAAATTAAGAAGCTGTTTTCCTCTAATTAGATAATATATCTATGAATGAGTATTACTTATTGGTAGAATGAATCATTTTTTTCCTTATTTTTAAAATTTTTATAGATGTAAGTGCCAAGAATCATTTTCACATAAGTCAAGTAGATGGAAGTGAGAGGAGTTTTGTTACAGCAATATCTCTCAATTCTTTGAATTCCATTTGCATTATTTGATAAAAATTATATATCACCAAAAAAAATTTTTAATAATCTGTCAGTGGATAAGCAATTAGATCTCCTGTAAGTTTTATTGAAAGTAAAGACCACAGTGCTAGAGGCATGTCTTAGGGTACCAAGCACAGGCGTTGGTAGGAACACGTTTGAGCTTGATGATTGGATATTTCATCTATCATGTGCAGTCCAGAGAAGGGGACAGTTAGGTTCAGTTAGAGTTGAACTTTAACCAAATGTATGTCGACTAAAAGACACAGGAAATATGAAATAATAGGTGGTAGAATCTTAGCTGGACAAGGAAAATGGTGAAAGAAGACCGCTGGTGGACTGGGGAAAAGTACAGGGGAGAAAGTAAAGGGAGGGCTTTTTAAGGTAGGAGATTGTTTGGAGTAGTTGAAATGGCAAACAGACAAAAGAGGAAGTTGTGATCAGGTGTGTGATTCAGAAGTTTTGGAGGTGGAGCAGTTATAGTTCATTTACATGTCCAATATGTGGCCATAATGTGAAGTTCATAAACTTCATTCATTCATGAATAAATTACTGAAGATAAATTCATGGAAATAGGTGGCTGTGGGTCAAATGGGTTGTCCATGTTGTTATTATAAAAAGAAAGGTAGGCTTGGAGTGGAGAGACAGAGTGTGAGGCAGGTGTCAACAGATTTGAACAATGAGAGGAAGGTTGGTAAAGAAGAACAACAAAAAGAGAGGAAAGATACTCTTGAGAGCTGAAAGGGGCAGATCTTAAAAGGAGATTTCTTTGTTTATAAGAAGCTTCAGGAAAAATGGTTTGGAAATGGCCATGGTGGGCACAGAAGGTACCAAACCCATTGTCTGACTCTGATGTATGACTATCTGCCATTTGGAAAGCATAGGGGAAGTCATGTCCTGGGGGTAGAGTCCCAGATATTACGAGGGAGAAACTCAGAGCACACACTGAAGACAAAAGGGAGTTAACCGCTAATGGAGAGACAGTAACAAGAGGTCACAGTGAAGGGTTTTGGTAAGTGGAGAGTGGTGGGAGCTCAGTCAGAGAAAAAGAAGTAAAATATAAGAAAGTATTTTAATGAAAATAATGATACAGATCAAGATCCTTGGTGTTTATGTGAGGAGCAGGTGAATTCTAGCTTGAGTATCTGTTGACTGCAGATAACAGTAAAGAGGGTGTGTGTGGGCCGGGGTGGGGGTGGGGCGGGGCGGTGATTCCAGCATTCTTTGAGGAGTTGAGTTCTTGTTTGGTCAGAATAATTTAGGTTTATATGTTGCAGACATGTTGAATTGTTATTTTAATATACTTTTGCTTTTTATTGCCAGTATATCATTGGGATTATCTTTGCATCTATATTATTGTAACAAATGGCATTGACTTGTAATTTTTGCTCTTTGTTTGCATATTTGTGTTTGTGTATGTGTTGTGTGTGCTTTGTCAGATTTTGGTACGAGGATTATACTAGCTTTGTAGAAATAAAGAAATGTCCATTCTTTTCCATGCTCTGGACTTCTTTTTACCTAGCATAGGCATTGTCTGTTCTTTATAAACTAGAAAGAACGTGGCTATGGAATTCTCTCAATGTATGCTGTCCAATGCCATATATAAAGCAAAATATACCCAGGAATTTAAAGACTGATACCCTCCAAAACAAAATTAATAACTTTTATATTGATTTCATGTTGACATAATAATCTTTTATCATGGCCACCTAGATTGTTAAATAAAACATATTATTAAAATTAATTTTACCTGTTCCATCTCACACGTTTAGAGTGGCTATTAGAAAACTTAAAATTGTATAGGCATTTGTGATGGGCATTATATTTCTATTAGACAGCATGATTCTGAACCATGAGATTTCCTAAAGGGTTAGTACAACTTTCTCAGTTTCTTATAGAGTTACTGGTCATTCAGTTTTCCTGTCTCTCCAGAATACATTTTGACCATTTATATTTTTCTCAAAAACCATTTATTTCAAATTATTTTCAAATGTGTGAATATAGTGCTTTACAAATATTTTATTATTGAGTAATTGCTTTAATGGTAAATCAGCAATTTTTAAATATTAATTCTGTTTTTGTGGTTTTTGATTAATTATATAACTGCTTTGATATTTATTAATTCTAATATATTTTTAGAATCATCAAATTACTTTTCCTTATCTGTAGGAATTACATTTTTATTTTCTTTTCTGATAGATATCCCAATTTTTTTTTAAAAAGGATACCATCAATTAAAAAGAAATTTAATATTTACTTAATTTAATTTTTGGTTCCATAAACAAATTATTTTTTCTGCAATATATTGCCTTGCTTCTAATTAATTAAATACATTTTATCTACCAGGATTTTTCAGTATTTCATATTCCATGAAACATTTTTTTCCTCACAATATTACATTTAAAAATGAAACAGTATTTTCTGAATATGTATTTCATTCTTTCTTGTCCTTTCTTGCCTTGCAATCTATTTTTATAGAATAAGCAATCACATTGTACTTAAAAAATTATCAACAATAGATATAATGTATCTAGCATTTAACACTTTCTGAGGATGTGCTAACTTCTTTAATCAGATGGTATTTACACCTTGTGAAGTGGGTACTGGTGTTACCTCACATTTGCAGATGGAGAAAGCAGACCAAGAGGGATTAAGAGACCCACCCGAGGTTTCCCAGCTGGGGCCCTTGGGCTTCAGACCTCACAGGTCTAAAGCGAGAAATCTCTCTGTTCGTGTCTCATACACTGCAGTAGAAGAATATAGCAGACATTTAGCATTAAAACACCAACATATTTCATGTTAAGACTCAATTGTCTGGCAATTACGGGCAGTCATATTCAGTGTTAATAAATTGCCCCATAATATGGTACCACTACAGTACTCCGGACTTGAGTTTTCCATAACAGCCTAACAAAAATCTTGCAGTCATCTGCAGTAAGGCGTACTTTCTATAAACAATTGTTTCCTTTAATCGTTTTCAGAGTTGGGGAAGAAATAAATATCAATTAGCCATTTTTAATACCCTGTGTCTTCAAATTAGAATTTTTGAAGTCTTGCTTATATCTCTAGAATGGCAGAAAAGGAGAAATATCGTGCAGTTTACTTCATTGGGCACCCATAGGCAAACCTCTGCCATTTTGCCTCTAAACTTGATCCCATTTGGTATCAAATACCTTTAAAAATTAACTCAGCTACAGTATAGTCTCTTTTAAAAAGGTTTAGATATTTAATAACAACAAATGACTATGGTTCGTTAATTTGTGATTCTTTTCTTTCTTTCAAAGATAGTGTTTTTAGAAGAAGCATCTCAACAAGAAAAGCTGGCCAAAGAATGGTGCTTCAAGCCATGTGAAATAAGAGAACTGAGCCACCAGTAAGTCATAGCCAACTTCTTCTCTTTTGCTGGATGCCATTATCTAATCTCAAATGATAAGAAACCTTCCTTGAGAGACAGCCTTTTTTTTAATGTTTTAAGGTGTGCGGTAGGAAGGAGTTGGTAAACAGTGAACAGGGGACTGAAAGACAGAATCTTTGAGTACTAGAGGCTGCCATCATTTATTTTTTCAGCACAGAGAGGCTGGCAGGGTGAGGATTAGGATGAAGTGAGTGAGGCATTTACCTCAGGCACAGAATTTAGAGGTGGTGGGAGGACAAAAAACTCGGTAATCAAGATAAATAATAGTTTAATGCAGTATTTTTAAAAATTAAAATTAATGCAAAAAATCCACAATGAAACAACAGGCCAAAATTTTAAATAAAGACAAGACATTATTGTTTGTTTCACACTCTTGCATTTTTGTGCAACAAAACAGTTGTTTTCAAACAGCTTGGGGCTCCCAGGCCTGGGAGACCATTGCATCTCCTGCAGGGCAGGTTGGTGAGGGGTGACACTGGTGTATAAGCAGATTGGTTAACTGATGCCTTTATGGATAGTCATATGTTCTGACTGTAGGGCTTTTATTAATAAATGTATGTTTTCCACTTGGTTAGAAGAAGGATGAATGTTTGATAAGTATACATAGGGGCACATACTGCTCTTTTCCTCAGGTTCTGATATAGCCTGGCCGTCACTGCAGGTTTAGAATATGAAGTTTATGGTTTTTATCTGGGAGAAGTTGAGATTTTCTAAAGGAATTATAACAGTGATTAAGTAAAGTGAAAACAGGAAAGGGGAAAGAAAGCAAAAAGAGAGCTTTTTCACCGTTTCTGCTCCAGCTTCTAAACCCCATCTCTACTTTGCCTGCAGCTTGACTTCTGATGGCTATGATTTAGCTGTAAGTGAAGTCTTCAGTGGAGCACTGAGTTCTATTGCTGGCTGGATCACTAACAAATGGCACATTTGAAAATGAGCAAAACCTGAGCTTCATTTTGCTCTCCCTGTAGAATGAGTAGTTGGGCTCAGTGACTTCTCATCTCATGTGCAGCTCCAACAGCTCACACTCTAGCACCTACTGATACTTGTAATAAATCCTGGACTATAACCTTGATTATGTGACTGTTTCTATTACTAAGCATTGCACAATGCTTCCTGTTTCCTAAAAAGGATGAAAGTCACATTTCTTTTTTTTTGTAAGATCGACTTGAATTTTATTTTATTATTTATTTACTTGTTTTTAATTAAAAGCACTTATTTTATTTTTTTAATTTATTAGGGTGACATTGGTTAATAAAATTATGTAGTTTTCAAGTATACAGTTCCATACTACATCTTATATTGCATTGTGTGTTCACCACCCAAAGTCAAACCTCCTCCTGTCACCATGTATTTGATCCCCTATTCTACCTTCCTCCTCTGTCTCTTCCCCTCTGGTAATCACCATACTGTTGTGAACGTCACATTTCTGATGCAATAAATCCCTAATGTTCCATTGCTTCTGAAGACTTTGCACCCTGAATTATCTCCTTTACATCTTTTATCTCTGGTAGCTTCAGAACATGCTTGAGTTTCTCCTACATGGGAAACAAAGCATGACTTTCATTCTCCCCCTGCATTACTGTTCTAACTTTCACTACCAGATATTTTTAAAGGGAGCTCTCTATCTGTCCAGTACTTTCTCCAACACCTGTATTTCATGTTCATGGCTCTCTCCTCAGCACCTAAGATAGTAAATAAACAATACTAGAGACTCAGTAAGTACTTACATAATGAAGGACTGAATCCATGCGAAATTGGTGTCTCCCTAGTTATTGCTTAGAAATGAGAATTCTCAGGGTCATTCCCGAGTGGCTAGATTATAGATTTTGACACTAGACACTGTCTTGTACTCCTTCCCTTCACTGCTGTCCTTGATATCTCTTTATCCTGGGTCTCCCTCCATCCTCCTGACAATGACTCTGCCTAGGTCAGGCATGACTTTCTCTTCCTCAATATGACTCTTAAATGGAGGGGACTGCTCAAGGTTTAGTTTTGTTCTTTTTTTTCTACAGAAATCTCTGGCACCACCAACTCCTAGCATCACCTATAAGGGGGAGACTCTCAAGTCTGAATCTCATCTTTAACTCTTCTGTTACCTCTTATCCCACATTTCTGATTATTTTTTAGAGATTGGAAGGTTGTACTTTCACTCTAAGCTTAATGTGGCATCACCCTTCCCACAAAGTAGACTTTTCTCCTAAATTCTCTGACTTTATTTCATGTGTTCAGCCCCACATGCTCAAGAACTTACTCTCTTCGACTCATTCCTCTCCTTTACTTCCTAGTGCTAATAAAAGATCAAGTTCTTTCTCTTGTATTTATCCATTTCATTTCTGTTTCTATTACTGTAATCTTTATTCAGAAATCTCACGCTTGAGAGATTGAAGGAATCTTCCCACCACATGTCCGCCACCACCAGATATTTAAACCCGAGGTTTAATTTGTCACGGTTCTGCCAAAAAATAAAAAATAAAAAGAAACCAATGTTCTCATGATTCCCTTCCTCTTGGCTACAGAATAACAGATACATGTTAATTCACTAAACTGAGTATTTAAAACCCTTTCTAAAAAAACTTTGTTCTTTTTAAGAAAACATCTTTATGTAGTAAAATGCATAGATCTTAGGTACATAATTTCATAAATTTTGACAAATATATACCCTATGTTACCAATATACCAATCAAGATATAAAATATTCCTTTCATCTTAGAAGGTTCTCTTGTACCCCTTAGTCACTCTATAGCCCCTCATAAGGAACCACTGTTTGATTTCTAGCACATAGATTACTTCTGCCTGTTTCTGAATGTCAGATAAGTGAATAACTCAATATGTACTCTTTTATGTCTGGATTTTTCCATTCATTATGTTTTTGAGATGCATCTGTATTGTTGTATATAGCAGTAGACCATCCTTTTTCATTGCTGAATAGTATTTCATTGCATCAATATACCACAGTTTATTAATCCATTTTCCTGTGGTATTTGGGTTGTTTCCGATTTAAGGATAGTATGAATAAAACTGCTATAAACATGTCTGTACAATATTTTTTGTAAACATGTTCTGTTTCACTTGTGTAAATTTCTACATGTGAAATTGCTCTCTAAAACCCTTTATATTTTAACCAAATCTACCTTTCTCTTTCTTCCCACCTCCTCTCTGTCTCTCTTTCTCCCTCTCCCATACCACACATGCAGATGCTCTCACCCCTAATCTCCTCGACTAGATTATAATCTTTTTGAGTACAAAGAGATGTCCATTTCTCTTTGGGTTTAGAAGCCTTAGCCAAGTTTCTTAAACACATTAGATACTTGGGAAATATTATTTAATTGAACAATTCACCTACATGAAGAAGTCACACTACCATTCTATATTATGATGGTAGAGATAATAAAAGACCTAAGGACCTGGAGAGGTCAGTGACTCATAGTTAAGAGGAATCCGTATTTCATCCTCCTTCTCTGCATGCTCCCTACAGTGTAGTCCCACCTAACACTGCCTCTTAGCCATGCCTGTAGGCTGTCACTGCTCATCATTTTTGGAGTGAATTAAAAGGTCTGTCACATGGAGAGTAGTGACCAAGAGTGCTGAGTCTACAGACAAAGTGCCTGGGTTTAAATCTAGGCTCCAGAGATGACTAGTTGAATGATTACTTTTTTCAAGCTATTTAAATTTCCTGAGCTTTGGTTTCACCCTTATGTAAATGAGGATAATACTACTTCATAAGTTTGTTGTGAGCATTATATCATCATCACAACTAATATTTTTAAAGTGCTTTCCGTCATCTCAGTGCTGTTTTTATGCATGCTGACTCCATCCTCACAACAGCCCTGTGGTGCTACTACTACCTTCATTTTACATCAGGGGAAACTGAGCCACAGAAAGGTTAAATAACATGTTGAATATCCCACTGCTGGTTTATGGTGGGGTCTGAATGTAAAATCAGGCAGTCTGAGTCGAGAATGTATATACTAAACCCCTATAATAAACAAATAAGATGATGCAGTTAGAGTGCTATGCCCAGTGCCCCATACATGTACATCTTCAGTAAGTATTACTTGCTGTCACTGTCATCATTATCATCGTTACCATTTCTATTCCTCATTTTTTAAAAATAAAGCATTTCAAGACGCTCATGTCATTATTTGTCTTCCATTGAGGTGGTATACATTTGAATGGAAAGTATAAGGGATTCTTTGTTATGTCAAGTTTTGAGTTCAAGTTTCTTAGGTAAATAACGGATGTGATGGCGGTGGTGCCTCTATCTTTAAACGAATATCTGTTTGGGTGCCTCAATTCTGTGGGTCATGCCTCTGAAAAATCTTGAAAACAAATTTCTAGTACTTCCCATTATAAGAGTTCATAGAAAGGTAAAATTTAATCCACGGATCAGGGTAACAGTAGGAGTGATATAGCACTGCAACGATATCTTCACTAAATCATTTACGCCACTCACCCACTGATACTCTTATCTCTTGAGATTGTCTGTCCCTAACCAGCCTAAGTTTTCTCTTGCTGCTTCTGTTTCAGAACTCAGCCCCTACATCACGTGGGAAAGCACTAGATTTCTTGCAATCTGCCAAGGTCAAATGATCACTGTGTCTAAAATTGCCACCACTCTATTTCTCATCTACAGTCATCCTTAGTGACCTGCGTGTAATTCATCAGCACAGCTCTAGAAGATTTGAAATCCTCCTCGCTCATCTTTTTCCTCTGTCTTACAACCCCCAATTGTGAGAATAAAGTCAAAGAATAAAAACATAGCTTTACTTTCTTCTTGTACTATGACTGCTTTGCTCCTGCCCAATGCTGTGCTTTTTCCTTCCTTTATCATCTGTGGTTAACTTCACACCAGCCATTCCAACTTAGGAGCTATATCTCTCTTAGCAGAGCTTCATTTTTATTTCTTGATCTCTAAATAATAGGAGAATTTAGTCATCTGATTGCATCAGCTCTAAACCTATGTGGGGTGAACAATTAAATGGCTGTTGAGAGAAAACGTGATTTAAAGATATGGAAAACGACTAAAAATGCTATTAAATTCTTTTTCTCTCATCTTAATTTCTAGTGAGTTCTTCATGCCCGGGCTGATTGACACACACATCCATGCCCCTCAGTATTTCTTTGCTGGGAGTAATGTAGACCTGCCGCTTCTGGAGTGGCTGAGCAAGTACACATTTCCTATAGAACACAGATTCCAGAGCATCGACTTTGCTGAAGAAGTATACACCAGAGTTGTTGTAAGTATCCTGCTTGTGAGTATTGGTGTATTATGTTCGGTCATCTGTTGAAGCATCCATTTCTTGGGGGCAGATTTTAAGTATAAAACATAGGCAGTTAAGGTTAGGATGGACTGTAGAGATTTCTTTAGTTCTTTCATAGCCCAGTGAGTTTGGGACCACCTTGCCTACACAGCGAGACACTAGCAAAGAGAGAACTTGAGTCCAAATTCCCAAAACTCTAGTCTGGTGCACTCTCATGACTCTCCGTCTTTTTACTTTTTATGTTTTACTTTACTAAATTTGAGTTTAATGCATATGTGTGTTCCCTTACTTCTGCCAATCCACGGTACTGTTCTGGGGACCATATGGAATAGCTGTGTAACCTTTGGAAAGCTCTGCGACTCATCTTCCCCATCTGTAAAAAACAGAGATAAGGATAGTACCTATTTCATAGGATTGTTAGGATATTTAAACGAGTTAATATTCGTGAGGTTCTTAGAATAGTGCCTGACACATGGTAAGTGCTCTATGTGTTTGCTTTAAAAAATACTCAAGAAATTTAAAATTAAAATTTCATATTACAGTTAGAAGGCTATCATGTTACTTTGGTAGCTTCACAAGGAGGGAAAGTAGGATGGTCCCCATCACAAGGGACTTGGGAAGAGCATTAACACCAGTAGAGGGAACTATGGGACTAGTTCTGTCGTTGAACAGTGGCTGTAGTGCATGCCAGCTGTTATGTTGAAAGCTCTGAAGATGTCTTTCCTTCCATTCTCTCAAGAAAATCAGTTCCTTTCTTTGTACCCCAACCCTATGCCCAATCCACGCAGCAACCAGAAACAGCTTCTTCAGTTGATAATTAAAGCTGCACACACCTTCTTATCTGACTACTTCTTATCATTCAGCTCACTTAATCTGAACATTCATGCATTTTTGTTGGACCCATTGATGGTTCTTCTCCTAATGTGAATAGCTATGTGATGTTGACAATATTATAAGACTTTTCACCCAGGTTCCCTGGTCTTGCATCATTTAAGCCTTGAAGAACAAAAGCAAGTGCTATCATTTATACACTTGCCTCATTTAATTATAAATTCAGTGTAATTGTGGATCTTACATATTTTAGCATGCATCCACAAGACACCAGAAAAACTGAGGACTAAAGCTGTGTATGAAGTTGCTGATACATTGTGTTAATGAATTGTGTGAACCACACCAAATCTTTTTATCTTTGAAATTTATTTATACCTTGTACGGTTCTAAAACAGATTTGAGATATCTTAAAATTGCATGATAGACGACAGAAGAAAACGAGTCATGAAATTATGGCAAAAGAGAAAAAGGGAGGAGGCAAAAAAAATAATAAATAAAACCAAGAGGTAAATGTTTGCCATGGGGGTCCACACATTTGTTAGCTTTATCACAAATGTGGCTTTAAGTGTCTAGCCCCTGACCCAGAGAAGGGAATCAATTTTAAAATATAAACTGTGTGTATGATTAAAAAAAAAAAAAATTAAGGTAAAGCAGATATGGTCCTCTTACTGAAATTTAAGAAAATTAATCCCAATATTTTAATATAATTACATGTTATGTTGTCAAAATATATATTGTTAAGGTGCTATAGTGTTGAAAAGTCCAGATATATCTCTTATATTTAGAAAGATTATCTAGAACTATGTATCCTACAGGCCATATTCCAAAAACATTATTTCAAATCAGAGATTTAGTTAAGTATTTGATGTCAGTGAGTACAAAATAGGTGTTATTCTCAACAAGTATTTGCAGTGCATACATTCTATGTATCTGATTATGAGCAGGCCCCCACACTTTAAGAGTAGCCTGAGCCCAGGGTGTGGTTGACAGCTATTTTAGAAAGTTGAGATTTGTTAACTAGACCTGTCCCTAGGCTGAAGACTGTCTGTGGCAATGCACAGGGGTGCTAAGGCCCTACCCATGAACAGAACAAAGACATTTCTGGTTTTGTTTTTGCTTTTCTCCCTCAGAAAACAGTCCTCCATCTATACTTCAACATATGGGTAATCCAGACCCCAGAGTTTTACACCATAGATTTTGATAATGATTCTCAATTCACTCTGCAAATAATTTAAAGTATATATTAGCAAACATCTCCTGAGATTATTAAGAAAAAAAAAAATCCCAGTAAGTCAATCCTGGAATATTTCCCTTTAAATATCGCAAATTGGGTGAGAAATTGCCTTTTTAAATAGGACTGGAATGGACTAAAAAGAGTAGAAGGTTCAGGAACCTATATATTATACAGATTATAGTCAAGGGACTGGAGAGTGAGATTCTTGGTAAATGCGCCAAAACGAACTAGTTGTAAATATTCTCCTGGATAATAGAATGAATGTGCTTACTCTATGGGATTATCAAAGATTCAGCAGATCACTCTAATTCTAAAGGGGTCTGAAATCATTACAGGATAAGGAGGAGGGAGGCAGGGAGTCAGACCACTCTTTTCCACTATTTTAGCTCATGGAAATTATCTAATCTGCGAAGAGGCTGTTGCTACTGGCATTGAAGCTCGTGGTCAAGTTAACTTTGGGATCTATTTTGAGCTCAAGAGCTTGGCCTCAAAACCCTTCTTGCCAAGAATTGAAGGCTGAGGAAAAGTTGATAAATCTAGCCAACAGTTTGATGTTATTCCTGATAGATTTCTTTATAAATGGAAAAAATACAAAAATTGTCATTAAGAGGAGAGCCTTTTGGAAAGCTTATGAGGAACTAGGATGGAATAAAGGCCTGGGAAGCCCAAACATAGAACGTTAAGAAGAAAGAAAATACTGCATTTTAGATGGCCTGTCTAGTAATATTTTTAAGCCTAACTCTTTTCTTATTTTTTCCAATTACGTAAGTCACACACATGTGCCTGGTTTGTTAAATGCGCCAAACTCAGGAAACAAACAGGATTAGCTTCCTTTTCTTCCTTTTTTTCCCTCCTTTTCTCCTTCCCTTCTGCTCCCCGCCCCACCATTCTATGTGGTCTCCGCCCATAACAATAATTCGGGCAGATTCTTGAAATTTCTAGTCTTCCTAGTTCATTCCAGTCCAATTTGCAACTGCAATTTCTCATCCAGAAGAAACTTTTCTAGATGAGAAGCTTTACTCCCCCTGACTCAGAGGAAGAACCTGTCGTCAGTGTCTGGATATTACTTCCATTGTCCTCGTTCCTAAATAGCTGAAATTTTCCATTTTGATTTCATCTTCAAGCTCAGATTTTTTAAAAGTGTTTAAAATGTTGAGAATTTAGAAAATGTTCAATTATGCTTCTGTTTTAATTTTGAGATTCATTTCATTCCAGTTAGTAAATGTAACTTGTGTGATGATTCTCCTTGAGAATTAGTTCACTGTTATTTTATGACCTAACAAAAGGTCAATTTTTATGATTATTCTGCACATTTTTAAAAAGATCGTGTTTTCTCTGCTGATATGACATTTTTTCTATCTCTATTCGGATAAGTTGTTAAAAGTGTCAAACAAATTTATCATTTCCCTATATTCTCCCATATAACAAGAAAAATAGATACCTTTCCCTTCTTCATGCTATAATCCCTCTCACCATGCCCTGTGTTATATCATCTGAGATTTTAGTTCGGTTAATTTTTTTCACCATCTAAACTTAATTTAAAATAAGTTTTAACTTTTAAATTTAATATTTTAAAATTTATTTAATTTAATTCAAGTTTGTTACCTTTTAACATCTGCACTTAGTTTAACAATGACCTTTACTATTTCTTTTGCTATTCAGAGCCTCTTTCTTCTTTTTGGATTCATTTTTCATTTTCCTGGAATATAACCTCTGATAATCATTTTCAATAAAGTGGGTAATAAACATTCCAAATCCTTGAATTACAAAAAAAAAATGGTTTTCCTTTGTTCTAACTCTCAAATGATGACCTTTCTCTATAGAGAGAATTCTATTTGAAATGATTTGCCCATCAGCTTCCAATGTGCTGATGTCAGTCTGATTCTCATTCCATTGTCTAATTTGCTGGCCTTTAGGATTTTCTCTTCATTCCCGATGTTCTGAAATTTCACTTAGAGATTTTTCTCCTCAGTTCATTCTCTTTAATAGGTAGTTCATTCAATATGAGAACTCATGTCTTTCTTTCATTCTGGGAAATTTATTTCTCTTTCTTTCTCTCTGGGTATATTCTTCCCTCCAATCTACTCTTTCTTTTGGTAAGTCCTATTAGAAAAAATTTGAAATTTCTGTATATACTTTTGTATTACATTCTTAAAGAACGCCATGGCCCAATTTTGCAAATCGTTAATTCACTCTTACCATTATAATAGCCTATTCCTCTTTCAAGGATATAATGTCTTATCTTATTTGTCTGAGGATACTAGTTTTAGTTCATTTATGTCACTTGCTACTTAGTAATTCTGCTTCCTCAGGTGTTCATTCAACAAATACTTACCGAGCACACACTAAAATTCAGGCACTTTTAAGTAGTAGTTGCTGGGGATTGAATTTGATGTCTCTGTAATGGTAACAGCTTTTCTTTTGGACTTGCGATTCTGACAGAGAGCTCATCTGTGTCTGTGGCTGACTGGCACTAATCATTCTCTATTGGCAGCCAGAGGTATTTTGTTTTATAAGTAAAGTGTTTTAAAATTTGAAAAAAGTTGACATAAAAGTCCAGATTTTCAAATGCTCTTGACCTCTGAGACTAACTGACAACACTGAGCCCTCATTTGCTGTTTTCAACAATTGGCTGAAGCAGAGTAGAGGTTGCTATCTGAGATAGGGCATTTTCTTTCCTATTATTTAAGTTCAAAGTATTTTTTTTTTCCTGAGGAGTTCTCTTTCAATTTTTCCTACAACCCTGCTGTTGACTTACAAGCTTTACTTACAAAATTTTTACTTTTGGAGAGGTCTTATGCTCTGATTTTCATAACGTTCTTTTCTTGATTTGTGAATACAATGTCTTCTTTTATTTCTTTGAGAATGTTAATCATAATTTTTTTTAAAATTTATTTTAAAAATAAACATATTGCCTGTTTCCTCTAAGATTTTATTTTTCCAGACTTTTTCTTTCTCTTTCCTTTCATAGCAGCTCTCTTCCAGTGTCCTTTGAACCTTGAACATTTAAGAATGACACTCTGAGTTGCCATTTGGAAGATCTAGGTGAAGGTAGCACTTGTTGACCGTTGAACTCTATCACAGGATGATCAGTGAAGGCAGTGAATAGCCTTTTCAATTGTGGGTCCCACTTGTCATTGTAAGGACATCTTTTTTCTAGAGCAACTTATCTTCTTTAGGAAAGAGTCCTCCAGTCTTGCCAGGACTGATAGGAGTAGTGCATGTGGTATTCTAGGCAAGATGACCGAGGGTCCTGGAGGTGAACCAGATTTTCTCTTAAATCTTTTCTTTTAAGCCTATGTCTCACCTGTCCCTTGGGGCTTATATCCTATCTAGTTTTTACAAAGAATAAATCTCTCCTGCAAGGACCAGCTTAGGGGTGGTTGGCTGATTTCCAGAGAAAGAAGAAGGGTCCTGCCAGGATTTAATCATCTGTATACAGACTTTGAGCCAATTCTCTGTTAACAACCTCATGCTTCTCTCTCTCTAAGTTGCTTTCAGTTTCTCATTCATATTCTTTCACCTTCCAGGGAGATGTCAAAATGTTGCTTCTGTTTATGTCTCTTCTCATGTTCTTATTGGTTAATAAATTTTGTACTCCTTTACTGTTATTTTAGTGGAAATTTGCTAAGAAAGGGATATAGATACATGTGACCTATCTGCCAGGTTGAACTAGAAATTTGGCTGAATAATTCTACCCTGTAATAGATAGAAAAAAAAAATCTCATTCACTCCCAGATACAATAAAGTTTGCATATCCTTAAACAAATCTAAAAAAAGAAATTAATTATTATCCAATTTTATGAATTCTGCAGCACAGAACGGTGTGAATCTAGAAAATCAAAAGTATCGACTTCTCAAGCTTACATTTTTGGAATTTCAGTACTTTTGTCATTTACCTTAACTGTATTTCATATCAAGATGACATACCTTTAAATAAATACATTTTAAAATTAAAAACTAGAATTCCGTTTTCATCTGTCTATGCCACGTGACTTTCTGGGCACACGCGATTCATGGTTTTTGTGATTTATTTTTAGAGGAGAACACTAAAGAATGGAACAACCACAGCTTGTTACTTTGGAACAATTCACACTGACTCATCTTTGCTCCTTGCAGAAATTACAGGTGAGGAGATGAAAGCATGATTTATGGGCACGTCAAATAAAGCCAGCCAGACCGTGTGTGGCAGTGACTTATACTTGTGGGCAGTTCTGCCTTTTAATTGCTAGAATTTGAGCATCGCATTTCTTGCAAGTAATTAGGTGTCCGTGTATTACTCTGACCCTTGAATGTTTTTTATGGTTTAAATAATTTGATTATTTATTTATGGTTTTTGGTTCCTGAATGCGTGTATGGGTCTGAATTTTGTATATTAATTTAGGGCTTTTTGGAGCAGATTTACTAATTCTAGTGATGGCAACAGTTTATTATTATCAACAGACCTATCTTGGCTGTTGGTTGAACTCAGGGCACTGTGCTAGATGCTAGGAACACAGTGAAACAGAACATATCTCTGCCCTTGAGGAGCTAGACAGGACCAATTGATTAAAAACTACATACGTTGGTTTATAACTTTAGGAACAGCTGTATTGCTCTTATTAAGATGTCTGGCATTGTGCAAAACACTGTACATGGATTATCTCAGCTCAACTGCAAATAGCCTTCTGAGGTAGTCATAGATCGATAAACTGATGTTCAGAGAGGTTATGTAACATGCCTAAGCCACACAGCTAGTAGGCAGAGGGAGGACTTGATTTAGGTTGATGATTCCAAAACTTATACCCAACATAGTGTCTACACATAGATGCTGTTTGCTAATGTGCTAACACTACTGCTTACTGACCAAAGTAGTTTATGCCAAAGGAGTGAAGGATAACACAGAAAATACCTACTGTCATTTTTGGAGGAGACAGAGAGAACCCAGAACTGGATCATCTGGGAAGACGTAGAAGGAATCTTTAAACTGGGTTTTGGAGGGAAGATAAAATGGGGAGAGAAGAAAATGTCCTTCAGACAGGGGAAATGACATGGACAGGGGTATGGGGACAGAAATGTCCATGGTGGACGCAGGAAGCAAGGAATAGAGTAGCTGAACCAGAGGACAAGATTCATTGCACAATGGGGTGAGAGAAGAGGTTGGGCAGATGGGAGGGTTCAGATTATGGAGAGATTTAAATATGTGTAAAAAACTCAAAGAAGCTTTTGAGTTAGAAGCAGTATGTAATGAAGGTGGCATTTTAAGGAAGAATAATCTAAGGGCAAGTT